CCTGACACGGGCCGTGTTGTGGGACACGGGTGACCGTGTCAGGTCGCTGCTTCACATTAATGCAATTTGCGCCTTCAGAGGGCACAACACGGTCCGTGTTGTGCAACACGGGTGGCCGTGTTGTGTTGCTGGTTGTTGAATTTTTGTCAGCTGCAGATGCCATGACACGGGCCGTGTTGCACGACACGGGCACCCGTGTCATGCTTCTGAAATCTTCGCATTTGTGCGTTTCTTCTGTATTTGGATCATTTTCGCATTGGTGCTGGGTAGCCAACTAGACAGAAACCTGAAACACCTTGAAACAACAACCACATTACACGCACCAACGGTAAAAATGATAAAAACATGGACACCTGACTTGCTTACCAAAATCAGAGAATACTGTTGAAGCATAATTAAAATATTAAAAGAAAACTCATGAAAACACAAGAAACAATACTAAAACTTGTTTGGAAAGTATGACAAAAGATCACTGATCAACAGCCCTGTCCATCATTGCACACAGTGAGTTTAGGAAGATCATTGGTGCAACAGATGTCCTGTTGACCCCCATAAGCCGAACCACTAATCCTCTCTCTATCTTCAACCTCGAAAACAGATGCTTGAATCGACCATGAGGTAAAGTTTGATAATTCCTTGTTAAGACAGATTGTGACTATATTAAACTCGTTTTCACATGACAAAATCAAATCGCAATAAACATAATTTCATTTTACGTATCAATGTATAAAAATTAAACTGTGACACAATCCGTTATTCAATTTGTTGATTGGTCCCCTACTGATTCAAGTGTGAAATCAATTATCAGCCTCCATAAGGCAACAATTTTATCTAATGTACAACTTAAGGCAACAATTTTATTTAATAATAACAGTTGCCTAATATAGAACTTAAGACAATGCTTTTTCATTTGAGTGTTGTCTAAAGTAAAAGTGATGTCTAATCGATTTTTTTAAAATTATTATTATTATTATTGTTTAACATACAACAATGCTTATATTTTAAAATGCTGCCTATGTGGATACCTTATGCCAACGCTTATTATCAAAAGCATTGACTATTGTCCTGTTTTGTTTTTTGGTAATTTTGTTTTATAGAAAATGCTGGTAAAGGGGTGTTGCCTAAACTCTTTTTTTAGCATAGTGTATCGTCCAACAATGTATCATTCATAAATTGTGCCTTTTGAATATCATCATACTTGTAAGAAGACAATTTCTCACTAATCACCATTTGTTAGAGTCCCATCTTCAAAAGCTTAAATCTCTTGAGCATTACAATAGTTGATAGAAATCTTGTTAAAGCAGCCGGAAGAAACTTTAATGGACTGAATAAAGTGAAAATGACAATCTCATAGAGTGACCCATGACAAAGTTCTTGATAAACATTGCATCATCTACAATTTTGGTGATCCAAGAACACTCTTTATAAACAACATTTTTTTTAGTATCCTTGGCTACATATGTTCTTCAAATCAAGATCTTATATATGGACAACACATGGAGTCCGGTAAATAGAAGGAAACTCAACCTCAATAATTAAACTTGTTGCCTTACAAACATGTGCATTATTGTCTCTGCCTACACAATATTTGAAGGGCCAACCTTCATAATTACTTCCTTGATGCATTCAACACATATATTTGGGGTGGAAGAATCTTGCGGTGCACTAGAAATTTAGTTATTGAATTTGATCCAAAACCACCATTTAACCGTTAATTATACAATACAACTGATTTATCTCATTGTCCCCTTACACATTTTAACCCTTCCATGAAATTCTTAGTTTTACTTTATATAAATATAATTAAAAGTCTTTTGTATACTTTGTTAAGATGGTTCAATCTAAATAATTATTAGAAATTGATTTCTAGACACATTATGGCTATTTGTAATCAAACATAAACTTCACTAAAAACACACAAAATTAAAAATATTTTAATGCAAACACAAAGAAAACGAATTAAAAAATTTCACAAACCTTAAAGAATAGAAAAAATAAACATATAAAACCTACAAAAGGAAAGAGAAGAATTGACCAACCCTAAAAAGAATGAGATGAAAAATAAGAGAAATAATTAATATAAAAAAGAAATAATTTTGTAATTTTTAAGTTTCTTTTTAAAATAGTTAATAAATATTAAATAAGAGAACAATAACATCAAATGTGAAATAGCTTAGTGATAGAGAGGTTTGTTATTATCCAGAAGAACAGGGGTTTGTTTCCCCTTTTGTGTAGATTTTTAGGAAATTAGTTTTTGTAGATTTTTTGGAAATTATAATTAGGTATGTGTTATATATACTATACATGGAAAATTTAAAGCTACAATGAAATTGGTCGAGCAAATAAGGTTGATTGCCTTGATACAATGGGTTTGGAGTTTGTTTCCCTCCAATGTAGTTCTTTTGGAAATTATAATTGGCTAAATTTTTAAAATTTCAATGTGTACTATTATACAACACTTTTTTATTCAAGAGTTGTCTAAAACTCTAGCGCGGAATCATTTAAAGCAGCACTTTTTGTTTATTTTTGGGCGTTATCTAATGTACAACTTAAGGCAACAATTTTACTTAATTATAACAACTGCCTAATATACAACTTAAGACAATGTTTTTTCATTTGAGTGTTGTCTAAAGTAAAAGTGATGTCTAATAGATTTTTTTAAAATTATTATTATAATTATTGTTTAACATACAACAATGCTTATATTTTAAAACGCTGCCTATGTGGATACCTTATGCCAGCGCTTATTATCAAAAGCATCGACTATTGTCCTCTTTTGTTTTTTGGTAACTTTTTTTTTATAGAAAATGCTGGTAAATGGGTGTTGTCTAAACTCTTTTTTTAGCATAGTGTATCGTCCAACAATGTATCATTCATAAATTGTGCCTTTTGAATATCATCATACTTGTAAGAAGACAATTTCTCACTAATCACCATTTGTTAGAGTCCCATCTTCAAAAGCTTAAATCTCTTGAGCATTACAATAGTTGATAGAAATCTTGTTAAAGCAGCCGGAAGAAACTTTAATGGACTGAATAAAGTGAAAATGACAATCTCATAGAGTGACCCATGACAAAGTTCTTGATAAACATTGCATCATCTACAATTTTGGTGATCCAAGAACACTCTTTATGAACAACATTATTTTTTTTAGTATCCTTGGCTACATATGTTCTTCAAAGCAAGATTTAATGTATGGACAACGCATGGAGTCCGATAAATAGAAGGAAACTCAACCTTAATAATTAAACTTGTTGCCTTATTAACATGTGCATTATTGTCACTGCCTACACAATATTTGAAGGGTCAACCTTCATAATTACCTTCTTGATGCATTCAACACAAATATTTGGGGTGGAAGAATCTTGCGGTGCACTAGAAATCAGAGGCAAAGAGAGTGATTTTGCTTTTAGCTTTTTCATCTTCAATGTATATTCATTGTCCATCCTTTCCAAATCTAGAAGTTTGGTTGTTGTTACTTCTTTATAAACTTACAAGCATTGTCCTAATATTTTCAACAAATATGCTCTCACTCTAGTATAAGATATCATCTTCCTGATACAACAATTTATAAAAATTATGAATTATGCAGAAAGTAAATTGTTGAAGATAAATAACACAGTCAATTGTTAACCCAGTTCAGTGTAACATCACCTACTCCAGGGGCATCCAAGTCAGAAAAAAAAATCCACTATGATAGTATTAGTTCAAAGTTAAACAACCCTAGTTTACAACTTATCACCTAATCACTAACTATGCAATTTCTACCTAGGAACTTCCCAGATATGAGATTCCCCTCTGACTTCTCACAATCACCTCAATGATGATAGCAAAAGACAAAAATAGAAGGACACACTTCCAATTAAACACAATATACTCTTTGCTTAAAAGCTCATGAGTAATTGACAATGAACAATGAACAATCAATTAAACGCTATGCATTAAACAAGATACATGAGTGACATACAAAAACAAAACACACTTGAAAAACTCTAAAACTCTAAGACTCTTGAAAACTAAGCTTCTCCTTATTTTTTTCTCAAGTTCTTTTTAACATTAGATTTAGTTTTTTCTTTATAAACTCTTCAACAGTCCATGGGCTTCGAAATCTTCACCCAATTTGTTGTTGATCCACAAGCTGAAGGTTGCACCAATTATGGAGAAATTTCCTAAATTATCTCAACATCTAATTTTAAAAACTTATGCACAATTGGAGATAAAATTACTTATTCCATATTCACTCTAAATCGCAACCAAACTACCAATTTGTTTGAACAATTAAGGTTTTCAAGAAATTAAAAAAGGAGAAGAGAGAGAAGAAAATTCTTTAAGTGAAGTTGTTATGTGTTTATATCATAAGAGACCTATTTATAGATAACAAACATACATTATACAAATTGCAGTATTTGATAGAGTTGAATACTGACTTACATTCGACAACTACAACTACTTCGATTAAATCGAATACAGTTATGCTGAATACAATTCCTACTACAACTATTTCGACTAAATCGAATACTGCTATGTCAAATACAATTTTCCTATTACAACACTAAACTACATCTTCTAACATTGATCATGATAAAATTAATTAATATTAATTATGTAAAACGAGATTTAATTAACTAAATAATTAATCTTAACACAAAAAAGCATCCCTCACTTTTCACTTTAGATCTTCGGGCCGCTAGGCCACCCGTGTTTTGAGGGTTAGGACAATACAAACACTACTTTGCTCTTAATTCATCCTTTTCTTTCCATTAAACTAACATAATAAAAAAAAACAAAGACAACTACTGACATAACATTGAAGCATACAGTAGTACATCTGAATCTCAACAACTAACCATAGTACCAACAATTTTAACCACTAGTTGCAAATCCTTTTCTACTATCAAAATTTCAATTCCACAACAAAGAGAAGAACTAAAAAATAAAAAAAATAAAAAAAATAAAAAAAATCAAGTCCCCAAATACAAATTAGAAAAAACCAGATTCACATGCACAGTGTCACCGGCCACTACAACATCCTCTTCTCGATGTCGCGAATCAGACGGTGCATCCATAAAACACGAAAAAGAAGCAAAGCATCGAAACGAGAGCCACGGATTCCAACGCCGTCACGATTCCCCATAGAAATTCATCAACGATGGAATTGGAGATGCTCGTCAGCTCCGACCACCGCGTCACCGGCATCTTCGATCTTGCCCAACAGAATAACGTTGCCATCGATGACAACACTGTTTCCGATCAAAATCGCTTTTGCTTTCGTTTCTGTTGTGTTTTACAATAGTGATGGAACTCAGCTATTTATTTCAAGATTTGAAGATTTTAATCACGGTGGGGTCTAGTTACATTAGGCGGTAAAGTGCTTTTTTTGAACGGAAAAAAGGACTTAAATTAATAATTCGATTAATTAAAATAAAACGAGTAGTCCTTTTTATGCATGATAGTGATTGGGTATTTGCGGTTCGGTTTGGATCGGTTTTTAAAAAAAAACTATTCAATACAAAGATAAATTTATTTGTGATTTGATTTGATTTTTGATGATATATTAAAAAAAATTAATCCAATAAAATCTAATTTTATGCGATTTAATTTGAATCAATTTTTAAATATCTAAATTATATATTATATTTTTATTAATATTATAAAACTATTAATAAATCATAGATTTGATATAATATATAATATATAATATATTAAAAGTTCATATTATAAAATGAGATTGTTTGATTATGATTAAAATAATAAAAATAAATAAATTATACCAAACTAATAATGTTATTAAAAAAATTATTATCATCAAATAATAATAAACTCATGGAACATATTATACTAATAAGAAATAAATAAATATAAAAATATATGTATGCGGTTCAATTTGAGTTGGATTGATTTTGAAAAATTAATTTAAAATTCCAATTAGTTTTTACAAAGTGACATTTAAACACATTTAATAAATTTTAATTTTTTATAGTTTTTGATTTTTTGGATCGGTTTTCAATTATTTATTTGGATTAATTTAAATTTAAACATTCCTAACTAATGATAGGTGTTAAATTGGATATTTACTTGTAACAAACGTCCATACAGACAGCTTGCAATCAAATAAAATCGGTAATGAGACAAAAATATTATCGAAGGCCTATAGTTCTTTTCATTGGGAGGGAAATTTAAATTTTAAACAAATTTATATTTGTGTATATGTAGACTAATGTTTTAAATTCCACCAACTATATATTTGGAGATTCATTTATGGTGAGGTAGAGTTTTTAACAAACTTTTAATTTTGATTATAGCAAGTATGGAGTTTTGTATAACAATCTATGATCTTATTATTATGTTATGTTGTTGGTTTATTGTTTAATTGAAAAATATTATATTATTAATGCATATCAATGTTAGAACTGAAAATAATAAAAGTACTTAGAGTCAGAAAATTATTGTTTTATTAGAAAGTGAAAGCAAGTTTATATAGTTTTTACAACATGAATTAGTCAAAAGCCAACAGTATATTGCAATAAAATAGGAATAACAGAAACTGATCCTAAAATATAGGAATTCCTCCTAAAGAAGCTAACTTCCCTTAGGACTATGATTTATTAGTAAAAACGTGGATTGAATCAAAAAACAAATAGACTTTGACTAACATTCCCTCTGTGATCTTTATTACTCCAAGCATGCTTCGAAGCTTCTCAAACTGCTCGAGCTTCAATGGCTTCGTCATTATATCTGCAACTTGTTCTTCAGAGCAGCAAAAACTCAGTCTCGCCACTTCATCATTAACAAGTCTCTGAGAAAATGAAACCTTATTGCAATATGTTTACTTCTGCCATGAAAAACTGAATTTATGGACAATTGAATAGTGGAACTGTTGTCACATAAAATCACAGTTTCTTCCTTTTCTTCAGCTCCAAGTTGCTCCAAGATTCTTCTAAGCCAAATACACTGACAAGCACAAAGTGCTGCAGCAATATATTCTGCCTCAGTGGTGGATAGGCTCACAACAGGTTGTATTTTCGAAGCCCATGAAACAACTCCAGACCCCATCATAAACACTACCCCATCATAAACACCTAACTAGAAGTGCTTCTTCGATCATCTAAATCTCCTGCGTAATTGCTGTTAGAATAAGCTACAAGACCTGTTTTTCTTCCTTCATTCCTGTAGAATATCCCGTGCTCCGCGGTTCCTTTTAGATATCTTAAGAGTCTTTTTGTTGCAGCCCAATGTGATTCTTTTGGATTCACCATGAACCTGCTCATCAAACTCACTCCAAACATCAAATTCGGTCGAGTTACCGTTAGATACATGAGACTTCCAATGACTTGTTTGAACATTGTATCATCTACTTCAGTGCCATCCTCATCTTTTGATAAATTTGTTCCTGGAACAATTGGATTTCTTACTGAGTTGCTGCTTCCCATGTTGAACCCTGCTAGAACTTCTTGAGCATATCTTCTTTGACAAATAAAAATCCCAGCTTCACATTGTATCACTTCTATTCCAAGAAAATGTCTCATCTTTCCCAAGTCAGTCATGTCAAAATCTAATTTCATCGATTTTTTAAATTCATCACACATGCTTCTATTATTTCCCGTAAAAATCAAATCATCAACATAAAGGCTAACTATCAAAATGTTACCTTCCTTTCTCTTGGTGAACAAAGTGTGTTCACTAGAGCACCTTTCAAATTTCTCTTTTGCAAAATATGCCTCAATTTTGCTGTACCAAGCTCTCGGTGCTTGTTTAAGGCCATATAATGCTTTCTTCAACCTATAAACTTTGTCTTCTTCTCCTTTCTTGACAAATTCTTCAGGCTGCTGTACAAATACTTCCTCCTTGAGCTCACCATGAAGAAAAGCGCTTTTTACGTCAAGTTGATATACTTCCCATCCACGTTGAGCTGCCAAAGCTAATAGTACCCGCACAGTGTCAAGTCTTGCGACTGGTGCAAATACTTCTGTATAATCCACTCCATAGTGTTGTGCGTATCCTTTTGCTACCAATCTCGCCTTAAACTTTTCAATTTTCCCACTTTCATTGAGCTTGGTTTTGAAAATCCATTTAACTCTAATAGGTTTAACTCCTTTTGGTGCATCAGTTAGTTCCCAAGTCTTGTTCTTTTCTATTGCCTTCATCTCTGTGTACATTGCTTCTCTCCACTTCCTGCTCTTGAATGCTTCTTCAAAGAGGTAAGGATCTCTTCCATTTTCAGCCATCATCATCACCATTAAGCTTTCTTCTTCCTCGGAAAGATTTGTTCCCTCTTCATAATCTAACATCCAAACTGGTTTTCTTCTATTTCTTATTGCCCTCTCTAAAAAATCATGTTCAACTTCATTTGTTTCATTTGCCGGTGACCCGATCTCGTTTAAACTGCTTGAGGATGCATCTTGATTGATATCACTATCATTTTGTGCAGACCCTTGGTCTTCACTTCCTTCTTCGTTTTCTTCCTCTTCCCAATCTTGAACATCAACTTTGCATTCTTCTTCAGTTCTTCCCCAGTCCCAGCTTTTGTCTTCTTCAAACACTACATCTCTGTTCACAATGACTTTCTTTGCAACAAGATCAAATAACTTGTAAGCTTTAGACTCATCACTAACTCCCAAAAATACACACCTTTTGCTTTTGTCGTCTAGCTTGCTTCTCTTTTGGTCCGGTACATGAGCATGCGCTACGCATCCAAAAATCCGAAAATGGTCAACTCTTGGTTTTACACCACTCCATGCTTCTTCAGGGGTTTTGTGATATACTGCTAAAGTTGGACTTCTATTCTGCACGTGAACACACCATCTAACTGCTTCAAGCCAAAATACTCTTGGAACTTGTCTCTCATTCAGTACAGCTCTTACTGCATTCATGATCGTCCTGTTTTTTCTCTCGACGACTCCGTTTTGTTGAGGAGTATATGCAGTCGTCAATTGCCTACAAATACCTCGATCCTTACAGAATTCTTCAAACTCATTAGAGGTAAATTCACCACCTCGATCAGTCCTTAAACAAGTGATGAATGCACCCACTTCTTTCTCTACCAAATGCTTCTGATTTTTCATGTAAGAAATAAATCCAAGCTTTACGAGTAAAGTCATCAATAAAGCTTAACACATATCTCTTGTTACTATTTGAAGATGGCGTGATCGGACCACAAATATCAACATGAACTAGCTGAAGCTTTTTCGAGGCCCTCCAGAAGCTTTTCTTTGGTATCGACTCTCTATGTTGTTTTCCAATTAGGCATGTAGTGCAAATCTTCTTCGGAGACTTCAGGGAAGGTAATCCAATGACCATCTTCTTGCCTGAGAGTGTATTGAGCCCCATTGTAGTTAAGGTGTCCAAAGAGACAATGCCATAATTGAGTTCCTTTCTCCGACACTGTTTCAGCTTGTAGACACATGGGATTTTTGTTTGGTGTTGCAGAAGCTGTCAAATAGAATATCCTATTTCCCCTCATACTAGTGTGCATAACTAATCCTTTATCTGGATGAAATACTTTGCAAGTGCCATTTCGAATTAAAATTGCCAATCCCTTTTCTTGGAGTTGTCCTAAACTTAGAAAATTGTTCTTAAGCTCGGGAACAAAGTAAACATCAGATATTACCTGAGTAACGCCATTCATTTGCACACGTATGCTTCCTTTTGCCAAAATATTCATTGTTGTATCATTTCCAAGCTTCACAATTCTGCAAAATCCTTCCTCTAATTCTGAAAACCATTTTTTGTTTCCCGTCATATGATTGTTGCAGCCGGAGTCTAAGAACCAAGCTTCTTCTTATGTGGGTTGACGCATCTCTTCATATGCCATTAATAAGAGTTCTTCTTCTTCCTCCAGCTCCGCATAATTTGCCTTCTTTTCCCAGTCAGGGCACTCATACTGAAAGTGACCTAACTTGTGACATTTAAAGCACTCAACAATTGCTTTGTTTAGAGATAATCTTCCTCTTCGTCTGCCACGTCCTCCTCTGAATACGCCTCTACCTCCTCTGCCTCTGATTGGTCTATCATCACTGGTTATTTTCAATACATGTTCTTCTGTTTGAAACCCCTGCATTCTTTACTCATGAACAAGGAGGCTGCCATGCAGTTCATCAATACTCAAGGTACTCAAATTATTTGATTCCTCTATTGAGCACACAACATAATTGAACTTAGAGGTCAAAGATCTGAGTATCTTGCTAACCACCGTACTTTGCTCCATTGTCAAGAATCGTTTCCAAAATTTCTCTATCAATGGCTTGAAACAGAAAATTTATGACCTTCAAATCTTTAAGCTTGGCCTCTTCCACACCCTTCCTCTGTGCTTCACTTGTTGCTGCTGTTCCAATTGCTGGTGTTGGGATCTCTT